ACATCTGAGATGTCTGGACAAATTCTCTGAACAGTCAGATGTTTGAGATAGCATCTGCTATGTTTTATCAGTGACAGAGAAGAGTCTGAAGACAAGTGTAACCTGCACACTGAATGAGTGTCTGAATTGATATGTAAATAACTGAGAAAAATCAAGTAGGTCCTGTTGTGTCTGAGGAAGGCAGAGTCCAGTCAAATCTACTGAATTTTTTCATATAAAGGTTACACTTCACTTCTTCAGACTCATTTTCAGTCTTTGATGAGAGAATTTACCCATCTGCTTGATCTATTTTGCATTATGTAATGTTCTACCCAGATGTCATGTTTAACATTACAATACAAAACATTCAGCACCAAGGACAGGTCCTATATCTTACATGTATTCTAAAAGTACACCTCATATAAGCTTTTATAGTATGACTTAGAACATGGCTTGAAGTTCAGACCTATATTTCCTCTATCTACCTGTATTTCAATCATATGGTAAAGTGTAGTTAGTACTGTAGAATGGCATACCTGGAAGTGCATTCTATATATTATGTAACCTGTAACCATTATTAGTGTCTAAGTTTTCATTCACATTATCAATATGTCCAACATTACAATGAATAATAATTGCTGTCATTCTTTTAACAAGAATTCATTCATTATGTTTACTGTTTTCTTCCTCTTCTTCTTCTCCAAACAGTGACCTATGACCTGACCAATGACATGATTTGTTGATGTCTGTCACCATGGTGACTAGTTGGTGTTGGGTTACATAATGTTGCAATTTCATGGTCTGCTCTGCTCCTGTCACCATATATAATATACTAGTAGTACATGTATGTGAATGTGTTTGAGTAAGAATTAACAGAGCAGAAAGGTAAACATTATGCATTTGCTTTGCAAATGTTACTTCTCTAGTTTCCTTTTTTTTTCTCTGGTGCAAGTTTTCAAGAAATTAGATATGCACTCACTCACACTCACTACATTTGTATATACACACCTGTATAAATCCAGTCATCAGATGTACGTAGGCACCTGCTGCAGCTGCAAGCATGGCGATGGCCAGGCTGGAGTACACCTTTTTCAGGTGCTCCTTCACAGGCTTCTCCCTGAACAAAAGGAACAAAATGGCATGTGTTACCTGAGGAATATTCTACTAACTGTTATCTAGACCATGCTTGATATCATGTACAATGTAGTGGGGTCGTGTGGCGTACATTAATTTTGTAAAGTCAAGTTGTGTGGCAGTGTTCAACTCAGAACCAAGTGGTCCCAGGTTTGAATCCCGCTATGTCAATGATCTTGTGCAGGGACCAGGAGTTGATCCTGATTGAGAGGTGACACCCATGATAAAAGCATGGCAGCTGACAGGTCATGCTTGTTCAGACCGACTTTTGGCCACACCAATTTAATTTCTTGGTTAACGGATTCGACCGCTTCATTTTTTGCTGATTTGCAAAACAAAACAACAGTTAAAAACAGTCCTTTTCATCCTAGTTGTTACAGTTATTCCATCTTTCAATGCAATGGTATCATTAAAAGTTCAAAATTCATTGTTTAAATTTTGAACTGGCCTGGAGTGTTGACTTCATGGCTCCTATCGTACCATTTTGGGTCATAATAGGATGCCTACCCCTGTCTTTATTTTATTTTATTTTTCGCCCGCCCGCTCCATTATTTTTCTAGAAAAATCCGTTAACTAAGAAATTAAATTGGTGTGGCCTTTTCCTCTAACACATTATGCTGCCCTAAAATACTGGGAAACACAAGCAAACACACCACAAACAGTACCACTGTTTTCACAGAGGTAACAAGCCTGTTGACGGGGAGCGGATCTTGGGAAGCGGACTAAAGCTAACAAGGCTGGATACCAGGCTATAGCTGTACAAAACAAGAACCATGTATCTACTGTACTAATATGCTTGACTTTTATTGTCTAATTTTATGGACCAGATGCACCCCAAATGTAGAATTATAGACCCATTGTTTATTCATATCTACCAATCATTGTGCAGATAGAAGAATCCATTTGCACGCTACCCGCCCCCTACAGAGTGTTAACTGTGTCAGACCTGGCATTGGGGTGAGTTCTAGTCTGAAGAAAGGCCAGCCAAGGTGAGACCCTACAGTTTCCTCTACATGCATGTTCTACCCTGTTGAGCACTTTAACACACAACTATCAAAGGGGTGCTAGTGTACCGGAAATGAAAAGAAACCTACAGTGGGGGTCACTGGAAGACAGACGTAGACATGTAGAATGTCCAGACTGTGCATGATGTACAAAATGACTGTATCTGATACCAGCCAAGAAAAGAACATCAAACAGTCATGCCTTCAAATATCAGAGTCATCAACCAAGAATTGAGGTATTCAAAAACTTGTATTTCCCCAGAACTATTGTAGACTGGAACTCGTTGCCACCAAGCACAGTTGGGGCATCATCACTAGGAAGCTTTAAACAACTCCTGCAATTAAATGTGTAAAGATTGAGTGTAACAAGTCGTTCGGTGTGATATAGCTAGCTGCCGCTGCACCGCGTGCCTGCGAAGCTGGTGTGTAACGCAGAAGGGTGGTTATACCGGCTATACCGATACAGATACTTATTTTCTAATACATGTATACAAACAGTTGGGCTGTTTTTCAAGGGGGCAATCTACAGAAAACAGGTGAAATTGACAACATTCTTTGACTGCAAAAAGAAAATTTAGACTAGAAAGGCCAATATTTGCTTTGGAGCAAATACAGCGATGGGTTCACCACATTTTACGACATGGCAGGGAAAGAATGAGAAACACAAGGGAAAACAATGATTTACATTGATATAACTATAATAATATGAAGTAACATACAACTAAAACAACAGTTGGATAGCTATTCCCTACTTTATTGGTTAGGATTTTTAATTGCATAATGCAAACTGTTGATTTTCAAAATAAATAAAAAAACGTTCATGCCCCGCATTCCAATGCTGGAGCAGAAAAGCTTGAAATACCTACCAAAACACTTGAATAAAGACATACTGTCAGTATGGAAATGCTCTGTGCAGGTGTTAATCAAGTTAAATCCCAACAGCCAATCAGCAAGAAATGCTCTGTGCAGGTGGAAATGCTCTGTGCAGGTGTTAATCAAGTTAAATCCCAACAGCCAATCAGCAAGAAGTATAGAGGAAAGCTGCATGCCTATTGGTTGATGCCCTGCATTCCATTGTGATGACTCATGCCCAGACTGGTAAACACGGCACACTAACACAGTAATACATTTGCTATAACACAGCCAAAAAACTCAAATAAAACCATTCTAAAAGCCTGTATCACAAAAATTTAAAAAACGCCTAGGGG